CTCTAATGAAGAGCTTGACTGCCTTGTTTGCTCGACGGCTCCCAGGCCAATCAATCTGCCATAGCCCGGCTTGCAAAAAAGCAACAAGGAGCCCAACACCCCTGGTGTCTGCTCGGTTATCATCCCCTGCCACCCCCCCCATCCCTCCTCCCAAGTTCATTACTGTCAAAAACCCAGCAGCAAGAGGGCAGATTTATAGAGGCGATTGCGGCTTCTCCGGCGCCCAACACCCCTGGTGGCTGCTCCGCTATCATCCCCTGCCACCCCCCCCATCCCTCCTCCCACGTTCATTACTGTCAAAAACCCAGCAGCAAGAGGGCAGATTTATAGAGGCGATTGCGGCTTCTCCCTGTGCGCCCGCCCCAGGATTAGTCACGAAGGAACCAGCCGAGGGACGACGGTGAGGACGGAGGGGTGGGAAGAGCACAGAGGTATGGGGAGGTGGGTGCCCTGCAGGTCGGGATGGGTAGGTCTGTGCCTGAGTACAAAAAGGGTGAGGGGGTGCTCAGGGGGCTTTGCCACAACCTCCTGCTTGTGTGAAAGCTCTGCTTTTTTATTCTGCTGTTGTCAGAAAGACTCCCCAGCACTCAGACCCCAGGCCCTCTCAAAGCTCTGCCGAATCACCCCCTCGCTTGTGCTGCAGGGAAAAGATAAGTGCAGTAATGCATATGAGGACAATGGCAATTTAATACACCAGCACAAATCCGCTCAAGCCTCCTTGCCAAGAGACCTATCCAGACATCCTAGCCTGCCCAGATCACAGCAGAGTCCTCATCATGCACAGTGCCACCAGAGACCGTCTGCTGCCCTTGTCTCAGTCCAGCAGACCGCACGGATGCATGCCGCTCCCAGACAGCACCTCCCACCTCAGCCACTCCATCCCTGAAAACTTGGCAGGCAGAAGAAAGATCCAAGAAGGAGCTGGGAACAGAGCCCGCCTGGCAGCCCTCGGGTCTCCCCTTGACCCACATGCATCTATCTACCACCTTCCTCCCTCGGGCAGGACCCGGAGCCTGGGCACTGTTCCCCCTCTATGCTGTGTGAGGAAGGGGGCAGAGAGCAGTGAGGGGGTACTGCTCAGCTGGAATCCTCATGCTGAGAGTTCAGCCTGAATCCAAATGCTTTCAGAGTCACCTGGGTTCAAAAGGAACCACCTGCACCTCTGCTTCCCCTAAAACCCGAGATCAGCAAGTGCCAGGGAGTCACCACACCTGTCCCCTCCAAGGACACATCTGTCCTGACCACTTGCAGATCAGCCTGGTAAAGCTTGCATGGAGGATGCTCTTCTCTGCCTGGAAAGGGGCAAGTGCACAAAGGGCAAGGCAACGTCTCTAGAAGGGAAAGGGGTGGTGAACCCTCAGGAAAAGGGGTGGAGAACCCTCGGGGCAAGCCCGAGCTTTCGGGGATGAAAGAATCGGGGTTTCAGAGGCAGGCCAGATACTGCAGCGGAAGGGGAGCCCCAAACACAAGGCTGTGGGTGGGAAGAAATCTCCACCCCTGCACATGGGGCTTGCTCCAAGCTCAGCCCGCGTTCCTCTGCGTGGTCTCCTGCCAGCTTTGGCTTCAGGGAAGCAGCTGTCGTGAACCGAGCGTACTTTTATTGTTCCTCCCCCTCTGCTGCAACATGAGCTCACCAAGAAAGAAACAACACACAGCTCGAGAGATGGAAGTAAAAAGGAGAGCACTGCGTTGTAAGGACACGAAACGGCCACAGGCAATCTAGCCGCTCGCCAGACTGGTCCACAATCCTGCCCAACAGAACCCCACACCAGCGTACAGAAGTTAAAACCCAGCACTCACCCTACAGCAGTGCAGGTCCCTCTCCCTGCAAAGCACACATGAGCTACCTGGGGCAGCGTGCCTGTACCTGTGCACAACCCTCCCCCTACTTTGCAACCCAACTCGTGCCGGCTTGTGTGACAGCGAGGAGCAGGCCATGAAAGGGAGAAACACTGGAGCTTCAGATCCTAGTGCTGCTGCTGCTGAGTTTTCACAAACCACCAAGTGATGGACAACATACCCTCGTGATACCTAAATTCTCTGTAAGCTCTCACATGTACAGCCAGCATCCTTCATAGGGCTTTTCCTCACGCTGCCAGTCCTTGTAACTGCTTCACACCCAAGGGGCCAGGAACGTCACACTCAAAGGCCAAATCTGGCTCCAGATGCCATGCAGGGCACTTCTGCCATCCTACGTACAGACCTTCACTTCAGAGCTGGGTTAATGCTGCCATTGCCTGCTTTATTCATTCCCTCCTTCAGGAGCTACCTGTTCTGTTTCTCAAATACTGCTCATTTCTTCCTGAGAGTAGGAAAGGACTGGAGTGTTTCAAGCTGCTGGCGTTTCCTCAACATTACTTCTTGGCCACAAGATAGCCCTAGGTGAAATTACTTTGCAGCCACATTAATACATGTAATTCAAAACCAGCACTGCCACCTCTGCAGTTACCACTCAGCACGGGTGACAACTACAAACACTACCCACTGCAAGAGTGCCAAGGATAGACAGCCTGAGCACTGAAACGGTAAACCAACACACCAGGAGAAGCTCCAGCACCCTGTCCCTTGAGGATGTGGGATTTCACAAAGCAAAAAGATTAATGAAACAATCGGGAAGCCACTATTTTACCTTTCTCACCTGAACACACTTTAAAGGCTGACATATATCGATTGTCATGTCTGCACCTGGAACCTGTCAAATAGAAAGGTCACTCTGACAAACAGGGAGCAGGGTTTTAAGAGGAAACTAGAATCCCAGCATTAACTTACAATCTGGAAACACACGCTGGCTCAATTTGCTAAAAGACCTCCAGACAAGCCTTCTTTATGGTGTCCCTTAGTGAATTGGTAGTGGATATAGTGCACCCCAAACTCACTGGCATATGGAACACGTGGCTAGTGGGCAAGGGAAAGGAGAAAGCTAGGACTAAGACATCCAATAGCAGCCTGAAGTTACGTCATATTAAGGTGACTACAGAGCCACAGACTTAGACTGACAGAGCTCTCAGGTGTTCAGTTGTTCAGGGGTCTTGAATGACCCCTTTTGAAGCAGCCCCGGGTATTAATCTGAAAACCAGTATCTGCTTCATCAGCACAGGTCTGACTGTGGGGGCACTAGGATGTTCATTACAAGGTGACTGAGGAAGGCGCCTCCCACAACATCCTGGCTCCTCTCTGGAGATTATCCAGCCAAAGACCCAGCAATGACACAACACGACCCTCTGCAGCCTGCAAAACCAGAGAGAACCACAGCAGTCGCTGGTACGACTGCCAGCATTGCATTCACGGAGAGCATCAACCACCCGCTCTCAGAAGCTGCCTGAGACATGGAAACAAAACACAGAGAGAGCGCAACCGTGGTGCTGGGGATGCTCTGAGGAGTCCCCCTCTTCTCCTCCATCCTCTTGTGGGTCATAAAACCACAAACATTATGCAAGGCTCATTGGACTGACAGCTAAGATTTGTGTAGCCATAGTTTGTTGAGCAGCAGGGAGATAGGGAGAGGTAAAAACCATGGAGACCTACATGACTTGTTCTGTTAAGGCATCACTTGATGGTTACTGCTCCAGTAAAGAAGAACTGGCTGCTAGAGCATGGTTTAAATGTCCTTTAAATGTCCTCCTGGGCACCCTGAGCTGTGACACAGAGGCTCTCTTCTAGAAGCTGTTATCAAGGATTTCTGTTTCTCTCTCTGTCTCACACACATATGCATGCACAGAGATGTGCCATGAAGAAGCATATTACTCCAGGGACCATAGCCAGTCAACGCTGCTTCCTAGGGAAATAAGCTAAAATTATGAACATCACCAATCTGACCTTGCGAGCAGTAAAACATGTATTACAAGGCAGGATAATCAAGATAAATGGAGAAGATTAACCTGGAGATGAGGGCAAGGAAGGAGGGAAGGAAGAAAGAGAATAGAGAGCTCATGAGGCATCTGGAGCTCGCAGCATCCCCTGACTTTTCTAAAGACATGCTAAGGGTTGGGGAAGGTGGAGAAGAGTATGAAAAGGGACACTGAGGTGAAAAACACAAAGCTCAAGCCAGAAGACAGATGCTAGGAAGGAGTCCCTCTGCACAGGAACATGGAGGGAGGACTGACCATGCTTCAAGGACCTGAGCCAAGAGCCTTAAAGGTGCTAAAAGCCTCACTCCAAACATCAGCTCCAGCCCTAAGGCCGAGACAGCAATAAACCGTTCAGCTCAGCGATGGCCCTGAGCTGCCCTGACCATACATCTTTGCACCCTTCAAGGACAATAGAAGGCACCACCAAAATATCAGTGACAAGGCCTACAGAAGGCACCTAACTCTCTCCACTGGCTGTACATGGAGCATAAGCACCTTGCAGGTTTTCTGACTCTCCCTGCCAAGCCAGCTGTCTGTTGCCTAGCTGTTGCATACTCTGTGTGGGCACCCATAGCCTTGGTGACTTCCAGCTGGAAAGGGCTCAATTTCTGGTGGGGATGAAAGTCAGGCTCTTTGATCACTAGTTGCTTCTGAAGATGCCTCCAGCAGAGCGAGAGATGCAGCCAGTTATTAGACAAGAGCTGCAGCACCTCACCTATGGTGCATGTGCACATGCAGGCTTTGGTGGGAGCATGTCTCTCTTCTTTGATCCTGTTAGCCCTGTCCCTCTCCTCTCTTTCCCAGGTTAGTCTGCTCTGATGAATGGAGGTGGCAACCTGAAAGCCGCTTCCGTCTCACAAGAACAGCCCAGAGACTGGACCGAGCTGCAGTCACCTCACCTCCCAGAAGAAAACCCCATGAACAGCACACGAGGAGCAAAGAGAGGACCCAGTTCCCCAGAGGTGTATAAGGGAGCTCCAACATATCTGCAGCCGAAGAGCCGAGCAGCCCCACCTGTACCATGCACAAGTGTGAGACATCAGTCACAGCCATGAGAGCAGTCCTCGCTCTGGAGAGACCACCGCAGCACTGGTACGTACCCCATCCCCGCGACACACCCCCCAGCTCCTCTTGCGCGCTCTCAGCACTCACCCGGCCGCAGGACCCTGATTTCCAGCAGGTTGGAGGTCCTGTCCGCCAGCCGCGTCCAACTGCTGTTGTAGTTCTTCCTCCAGAGCTCGGCCACACACTGGTACTTGCCGGCCTCCGTGTCGCTCGCCCTGCTGATGCTCAGGCGCACGTTGTTGCTGGACTCAGCCTTCTCGATGGCGGTGCGGGTCCGGAAACCTGCATACCTGTCGCCCCACTGGACCCCGCCGTCACGCGTGAAGGTGACCAGGTCGTGAAACTCGGTGCTGCCCGCCGGCTGGAAACGCCACGTCACCGACACTGGTACCCACGATGGGTAGTGGGGCTTGATGATGCACTGGAGGTCGAAGGACTCATTGTAGGTCACCCCAGGGGTGCGGGAGATAGCTGTGACAGCAAAGCCGGCCTCTGCGGAAAGAGAGAAAAGGGCTTTGAGAGACACTTGCCTAATGAGGCCCTGCTGTTAGCATGCAAAAGCTAGAGTGTGGTCATCCAGTCACGGGCCTGGAATAATCAGCCGCTCGCGCTGTGTTGGCTCCTCGTCTGCAATGGCAAAGTGGCACGAAAAGCAGTGGCAAAAACACACTTAAGTGCCTGCGTAGTGGTGACTGCCTGCGTGAGCACTGGCTGCAGCGGCAGCAGGATTGTGCTCGATTTCTGCCCAGAGGAGCGCAATCCCCTGAGACCTGGAGGGCGAGCGGCCAGCCTCTGCACGCTGACCAAAGCCCCGTCTGGAAACGCAGCAGTGCAGCGGCAACGGAGCAGCACCAGGCAGAGCAGCTACCCAGCACCAGCCTGACTGCTCGCAGGATTCACATCCACCTCTCGGGCAGGGGGTCCCCACCCAGTCCCCCACCCCAGGTCTGTGGCTGGTAGCTGCAGGTGAAGGAAAGATGAGGAAAGCGAGAAGTAGCAGCCTTCATTCATGCATCGGAGAGGTGGCAGCAGTTACGAAACCCCAGGATGGAGGCAACTGAAAGAGAGGGAAGCTGGTTGCTCCTGTTCTTCACACAGCACGGCTTTTGTTCTCTTCCAGATCACAGCTCCAGAATGGCTTTATGCAGTTATCCTCGCACGTGCACCACTCCACAAGCTGGTCAATACATTTTGACTTGTCTACCCCCAGCACTTTGTTGGTTTAGGGGAGTTTAAAACCAGCAGTCTATTAGTAATTTGAAGATAACATATTCCCAGTCGACTGGCTTACATTTTGGGTCAGGGCATTTCCATTGCTCAGTTGTTCTGAGCTGCAGAGAGAAAATATTTTCTTCCAATCACTTTAGTGCAGCCAGATTTAGCAGGGACCTTGTTTTCCACCGGCAACATCCCCAGGAAGCGCCCCCTTCTTGGGAGGCTCTGCAGGGTGTCCCATGCCAGCTGGCAGCTCTCCTTCCTCCCCCTGCAGTGCTGACTGTCCCGGCACCCAGCACAGCCACCGCCGCAGGGGAGAGCCTGGCCAGTGCCCAGTAGAAACAGGAACGTCTTCTGGATCAGTGCAGAGCTTCAGCCCGCCACCAGCTTGAAATTACAGTTCAAGAGATGAGCCGGGAGCTCACCGCAACCCACAGAGCTGCTGCCATGGGCCAGACCGGCCACAGCACAGACACTGCCGTTATCTGCACGCTTCCAGCAAGTGCCTCTGCAGCCCCACGGCGTCACCATGCCAGAGCTCCAGGATGTGTAATTACTGAGAAAACAGGTCAATCTTTGGGATTAAAGCCTCTTGCAACACATTCAGTGATTACCCAGGAGAGGAGAGCGAGACCCAGGCTTTCTCCCCTGCAGGACTGCTGCATCTCATACCCATGTAAGTCTTTATTCCTTTAGACCCTGCAGCAGCCCTCCTGCCCCAGCAAGTGTGTTACCGGGCCCAGCTCAGAGCACCGCTGAGCCAGCGATGGCCCTAGAAAGCCAACTTAATTTCACCAAGACCAGCTGACTTCGTAAAGTTTAATCTCCAGTTGGCCTGGGCAAGGAAGCTTCATGACTTCTCTTGACTGCTGTGCAAAAGCCAGGTGCGTTTCCCAGGTCCTCAACTCAACCAACACGCTCATGGCACTTAGTTTAACACACAAAGGCCCTTCTTCCTTCAGGACTTGGTACAAAAGGAGAGAAGCCACGCTTAAAAGCCGGCAGATTTTCTGCAAGACCTCCCTACAAGAATACAGCAGCCCCCCCTCACCCTGCCTGCCCCCTCCTTCCCCAGCCAGCCAGGAACTGAAGTCCCTGCCAGGCACTCGAGATCCTCAGAAGTTCAGGGACATCTGGTCTCATCCGACAGCACATCCCTCTTCTGGCTATTGCTTCTGAACCACCCTGTAGATAGATTTATGGGTTTGAACATCATCTGTACTGGTTCAGCTGAAGAGTTTCTTACCCTGGCAGACTGGCAAATGATTAGACCTTAACTTGAAATGTGAGTGTCACTAAATTTACTGCATTTTTTTTACTAGCAATTTCTGTAGCCATAAACCTCTCTTGCTCTTTCTTAGCACCTTCCATTTGAGTTTCTCAGGACACTCCAAAAACATTACACTGAAGAAAAAATGTCAGATTCAGTGGCAACGAAACAATACTCCAATATTTTCTCCACTAAATTTTCATGAGCTACTTCAGCTTTGCTAGTTATAGGAAGAGGACCTAGGAATTTCTTAGGACTTGACAGAACGTGCTCAACAGCCAGTGATTTCTCTGGGACAAGGAGCGGAGGAGGAGGGACAACTACCTTTCCATCACATCTTCTGGAACTGCTGGGCAATTCCAAACATCTTAAATTTTAACAAGAGTAAAAGTGATACATTTTAAAATCTCAACACTTAATCTCAACACTTTGACAAGTGGCAGAGTAAAGACAAGGGCCGATACGTTGACTTACAGCAGGCCAAATGCTGCTGACCTCATGAGGAAGTCACTGTTGAAACCAGATGAGAATCTGCCCTTAGTTCTTTACAAACTAACGTCCCTACCTGCTTTTGGAAGCTATATAGCAAAGATTTCTAGCTCCAGACAGAACAGCCTCTGAAAGAAGGTCAAAAGTGAAGGGGAGGAAAGGAGGAAAAAAGCAAGATTTTAATCAGAATACGATACAACTTTGAAGTCTGGTCTCTCACACATCTTGCCAAAGCTTAAGATTAATACCACAGAGAACCAAAAAAAAAACCCCACCCCAAAAAATTCCTATCTCGACCTTTCAGTAGAGCTCCCTGATTGTTTATAGCCCTGGCATTCTGCAAATCAGTGACCTCATAGAAGCAGTCATCCCTTCTTCAGTCTCCCGCAGAGCACTTGAGGAACTAGTCCAGAAATTGATATAGCGGGACCAAAGTAATTCACAATCCATGCAAAATCCCCAATGCCCTACCTGCCCTCTCCTAAACTGATGTGGTTTCACTGTGTTTGAAATGGAGGAGCTCTTTGGCAGAGCAGAGTACCAGCTGCAATGATCCCAGGTCCTAGTTCGGCTTGGTTGTGAACAACGTTGTGGTTCTGGGCCAGCAGCTCAGTGCCTCCTTGCAGAGGCAGTGAGGACCATTCCTGACCCATGTCTTCCGCAGGCTTCTGATGCTGTCAGAGATGCTCGCTATTTCTGGTGGACAGGTCAACAGATGCCCAGTGTTTTGCTCTCCTGGTCCGGCGAGCAGAGGTAAGGTTTACCCAGGGCAAGCAAGGAGGCTTCGATGCTCACAGGCATGGAGCACCACCACTGCACTGCCCGTAACCCGGCTCCAATGCTGGGGGGGCACGTCATGGGACTGGCAGCCTCTCTCCTCGGAAGGACGCTGGAATCACTGCCCCTCTCCTTAGCCACACCCTGCTTCGCTCCTGCCACAGCCACCCCTCAGACTTTGCCCCCACACGCAATGGGGCATGCAGGCGTTTTGCACCAACCTACCGGAAGCTGCGTGTGGGCTGCCGGGTACCTCCATTTTGCCGGCAAGCAAGGGCGGGAGTGCCAAGAGCAGCCCCGGTTATTCACAGGTGACCTCCTGGGGGGGGCCGGGCACGCGGGGAGCACAGCCCCACAGCCCCCGCGCCTCGAGTACTCACCCAGAGCAGTGATGGACACTGGGGTGCCTGCGTGCCGCTCCCCAACCATCTGCCACTCCCCATCCAGTGTCCGCGTCCACTCGGCCACCCGGCACTCGTAGTGGCCCTCGTCCGCCTTGACGCTGTTGAAGATCTCCAAGGTGAAGGAGCCGGGCCGGACCTGCTCCACCTGGATGCCCCCATAGCTGCTGCGCTCGGCGTACGAGGGGCCCGGCTGCAGGGTGCCCTCCTGATCCAGACGCACAATTTCGCTGCGCCGGTTCAGCTTGTCCACCAGCTGCCAGGTGACGGAGAGGCGGCTTTGGGGCCCAAAGCCTGAGCGCACGTTGCAGCCAAAGCGCAGGCTCTCCCCCTCCAAGACATTGCTGGCGTTGTTGATAATCTCCAAGGAGATGCTGGTCTCTAAGGAGAGAAACGCATACACACAGGGGAGATGATACACACTCGCCACTTCTCGGTCTGCAAGAAGGATGCTGCCAGCCAGAGAGGCTTTCTACCAGGTGCAGGAAACTGCCCACGTATTTGGGTCCAGGCATGTCTTAACCTCATGCGTGACCACATCCAAAAACAGCTTGTGGGCAGCGAGCTGCTCCTGGTGACTTGCACACTCAAAGCAGCTGTAGGCCAAAGCTGGGAGAAATCTCTCTGCCTATGGCTCATGAGACATTGCCGCATCTTCTGGTCGCAGGTCCGGGATAGGATCTCAGCAAAACTTGAGGGAATTTGTGTTGCTACAACATGCACCGCATGCAACCGGCTCTGCCAAAAAAAGCTTCCAGCTCCCTGGGCTTTTCAATTCACGTCATCCTGATCACCATCTTGCCACGTCCATTCCTACAACACCTTTTGGGAGAAGCTCTCCCAAACTCCCACTGCTAGTGACACTAGAGGTAGCTATTAATGTTTGGTAACATCAAAAAAACCTGGTATCCTGAGCTTCTCAGAGATGTAAGGCTTTACGGCTGGTTTTTCAGAGATACCGAGTGCTGGTTACTCCTGCTGTCTTCGGTCAGAGTTATGGACACTTAGCACCCTTGAAAAATCATCACATTTGTTCCTAGAGCTGGTGATTTATCAAATGGCAAGAATGTAATCTGTCTGAAAGGTGACTGTGCCTAGAAGTACTACATTTTAGACATTTGTCCAGTGGAAGATTTCTAGCTAGAGTGATTTTCAAAGCCAGACAAACAAGACCAAATATTGGTAGGACAGAAAAGAAATAGAATTTCTTTTGGAGAAATGAGGAGGGGAAAAAAAGCTAGAGGAAAGGGCTGCATTTCCCTACAAACTTAAGAGATAGGAAACAAATATCGCACAAAATCCTCTTGCAGCTACCCTCTGCTTGGTCAAAGCCCACTGCCAGGGTAGCCTGGACAACATGTGCATGGTTCGTCATGCCACAGCTACCTGAGTTTCAGAGAGCAAAACAAGGAATGAGTCAGTGGACCCTCTCCTCTCACCCCATTATTTCTGTATTTATGACATTTGTCTGACAAACATAAAAGGCGTTCAGGCAAGCCTCCGGCAGGGTTGTTTTCACCAGGGTTGGCAGACACACAGTGACCATGACAGAGCTCCATGCTGAAGAGCAAACCAGGGCTCAAGGAGCACGTGAACCCTGGTTTCTCCCAGTACAGCTGTCTTGCAAGACAGCTGAACAACAGCCAGTGAAGGGCCTGCAGGAACCTAGCAGCTCTTAGGATAAACCAGGGCCAAGCCGGTCTCCCCGTTCCGCCTGCTGAGTACTTTAGAGCACCCAGCTCCCTGCAGAGCGAGGCGAGGAGAGGTATGAGGAGCAAGTCAGAGGTTGTCACGTGCGCCTTCAGCTCAAGGCCAAAACTGCCAGCTTGGGGCCATTACCAAGGTGGGAGCATATTTCCCCACCTATGAACCTGACACATATCCCTCCTTCTCTATCATCCCCTTCCCATAAAAAAAAATAATCTTGCCAGCTGGGATTTCAAGCCTCCACAGCATGCAAATTCTTATCGTCCCTCTTCCCCACCACCGAAGTCAGGGCACATCACAGCCTTACCAGCTAGCTGCCCAGTAGAGCAATGGCCCCAGGAAGGGATGGGCAAGTCTCTACTTACTGAGCGGCAGGACGGTGATGGGGATGTTCTTCGGCCGCTTGCTCTCCTTGTCGATGAAGTCGCCTGTAACAGTCTTCTCCCGCTCAGTCACCCGGCAGTTGTACTTGCCACTGTCCTCAAGACGGAGGCGGTAGATCTTCAGCACAAAAATGTTGTCGCTTTCTTTGGCTACCTTGAGCTGGCCCAGGGCCTCGCGCTGGGCAAACTCATTGTTGAGCACCGGCACAGCGTTGGGCCCCAGGCTGGCAATGAGGGAGCTGTTGAAGGCCCAGGAGATGGAGAAGTAGCGGTCAGGGATGTTCTGCGCCTCCAGGATGCACCGGAATTCCACCGGCTCACCCACAATATATGTCCGCTTCTCTGTCTCCAGCCGGACACTAAACTCCTTATCTGAGGAGAGACAGACAAACTCACGTCAGCATGGCAAAGCCCATTGGGACAGCCAGCACACCTCACCTCGTGCGAGGTATTTACAACTTGCCACTCTCTGTGTAGTCAACATCCCTCGGACACGTGCATCCACAGGTGGAGGGGCAAGGGGCTTGCTTTTGCTGTGAGAGCCCAGATTGGCCATGCTGCAGGAGAGGCAGCTTGCTGCCCAGCATGCAAGAGCTGCAAGGCCTCCCCAGCCATAACCTTCTTCCCCAGTCATTACTCCTGGGATCAGCTCTGCTGCAGCACCAGCATCCAGTGGCACTGCGGGATGCAAGCTGGAGCCTAGTCCTGCTCGCACCCTGCTCAGCTGGGGTTGAGAGGCAGGGCCTTTGGGGATATCAGAGAGGAAGAAAGAGCTCAGCTGGGTCTTTAGATCCTTAGCAGGAACCCGTACTGTGGGCTGGGAGAAGGATTTTGACTTGCAAACGGACCTCGTGCAATACAGAAGTGCTTGCTGAAAGTTTTCATTTTATTTTCTACTGTGTCACTCTCACCTCCTCACTTACCAAAATTTTCATTGCCTGTGCTAGCACCAAGTGCTTAAGATGTATGTTTTAGCTCCTGTGTCAGCCCCAGATCACTGGCCACATCAGGAGACAGGGGCTGCCACTCAAGCCCCCTTGCTGTCCCAGTGTCCCCTGGTTGCTATTTGCTGACATCTTCCCCACCCACAGGCAGTGCTTGGGCACTCCTTTGCCCTCCTTCACCCTGCCAGCAGCCTCCCGAGCGGGGCACGTGGCAAAGGAGGGAGCCAAGCCCCAGCCACCTAACAAGGCGCAGCCCCGTTTTCCACCTCCTCCCACCACCCAGCCAAGCAAGAAAAGGCAGAGGAGACACTGACCGGTGGCTTGCACGTTGACGATGGCGCCCTGGGAACGCTTGCGGGTCATGGCATACCAAGACTTGTCTGGGTCCTGGATCCACTCTGCCGCCTCGCAGTAAAACTCGCCCTGATCCGATGGGTGGAGGTTGTAGATGGTGAGCTTTGAGGTGGTCTCCCCCACTTTGTCCAAGCGAACATCCCCCGTGGCTTGTCGCTGGGCGTAGGCGCTGCCGGCCCGCAGGACAAAGTCGCGGCTGAGGGAGATGACCTCCACGGGCGCCTCGCTGCCTCGCTGCCGGTACCAGGCGATGGAGACATGGCTGTGCTGGGCCGTGCTCTTGGACACCTCGCACTTCAGCTCCAGGGAGTCACGCTCCACTTTGTTCAGTGTCTGCGGGACCGCCGTCACTCGCAGCGAGTCGGGGATCACTGCAGCAAAGGGAGACGGGGAAACACAGCCCAAGAGTTAGCAACGCCAAAACGCTGAGTCTAAAGCCCAGACACGTTAAAGGAGAGCTGGGGGAGAGGTTTCTTTTTACGGTTGTAATTAATTGTTAAGTATTAGCAAAGCCCTGTTAGCTCACATCTAGCCCCCAAGAAGAGGAGAGTTGTCCCCCAAGCCCTTGGCTGGGAAAGACCACAACCTGCAGCACATACTCCAGCGCTGTGCTTAAATTTCGGCTCAATGGCACAGGGTTTTCCATCACGCTGCAGAGCAGCACAGCTTAATACATCCACTTCCCATCGAGGCATTTCGTCACAGGTGGCGTCCCCTTCATCGTGTGCCCCCCACCACGCTTCGCGATCCCCCTGCTGCCCACATCCTTCAGCCACTCCTTAACCCTGCACCATGGTCTTTGCCCCTCAGTCACCAGTGGGGCCAAGCTAAACATGTTTAATTCCTTTAATCTTCCCTCATAAAATGTCAGGAGATCCAATTCCACTTTCCTTCGTTTATATTGTTTCATGTTTTAATGACCCCCTCAGGCCAAATGAAGGGGTTTCTGCATTTGGAGGGAAGTGGCTCCTCTGAGGGCAGCAATGCAATTGCAGCATGCCCAGCACCCGCTCCCGGGACACAACCACGTCAAGGCACTTGGTAATAAAACTGCTGGCTACTTTTCCAGTTGATTAACCAGAGGAAAGGAAGTACAGCTGCTAAAATCAGGATGAAAAAAAAACTGCTGCCCCCCAACCTTGCTTGACTTTAGCAAGCATCTTAATTTTAGCAAGAGGTTCTACCACCAGAAGATAGACTTTCCTAAAAAGAAGCCTTTCTAGACTTTGTTGTCTCAAGAAACATCATGTGGAAAGAAGAATGCAAACCTTCTCCCCAGCTCTGCAGACAAGGCAGTGTTAGCGAGCCTGTTAATGCCCACTGTTTCGCCACGTACCGGTGGAATATAATTAACATATCTCAGTTTGGTTTCATTGGCAGCACTGGAAGGTTTGACAAAATTAGCTGAGCTGCCGAAAGCTGCATCTGTTTCATTCAGGCACAGCTACAGAAAGCAATGAGCTACAGTGAAGACAACCACTGGGATTGTTTATGGCAGCACAGTCAAAAGCAGAAGAGGGGAAAGAAAAAAGCCACGTGATGGAGTAAACGAGAGGGAAATCTTCCCGTGTCCAGCCTGGATGGGAGCATTTGCTTTTACCACGTGTTCACTACTTTTCCCCTGACAGGGAAAGTACCTGGTAAGGCCATTTACATTGCAGGCCATTGCCTCTGTCCCTGTAGCCACGTCTCCTCCTCCCTCCCTTCCCCTCATCTTCCCCGCTGGGGCTCCCGTCCCCTGATCACTGGCAATAGCCTCTGGCAGACCATGGCCCAGATCCTGTCTCGCTTCGCCTTTCCCCCTTCTCTCCGACTCCCAAACCAGTGGTGACAGCAGCAACTAACCTTGCTGGTTCACGCCGCCTGCACGATAAGATTTAAATTTCTCATTTCAAACCTTTCTGAATAATTTCCAAAGCCGTGCAGCTCGTTTCTCTTTGCTCTTTAGCCACAGGCTCTTAAAACTTTTCTTAAGTTATTTACTTAAATTAAACCTGATCATCATCTTGCTGGAGTTACTTTCCTGCTGAGCTGCTTCGAAGGCAGAGCTCCCTGCTACACCAGCCCCTGCACAACAATTTATGGGGTGAAAGCAGGTATCTGTGAATAAAGTGTGCCTGTCCTCCTTCCCCCAGTTTGAGAGCCCTGCGCACCCCACTGGTTGCCTGTGTGCCTCCCCCCCAGCCCTGCTCAGCAGCACAGCCGCTCTCTGGCTAAGCACAAGGCAGAGAGCAGAGAGCTGCTTACCCCGGGAGCCTGCCTGGCTCTGCGGGACAAGCCAGGCACTTGGCTTGCCAGACGCGGAGCTGCCCGCTCCCCAGGAGTAATGCCGGGAAGCCTGTCCAAAGGCTGGGCCTCAAGTAAGCGCTTGCCGTTCCCCAAGCAGGTTAGAGGCTGACACAGGCAGCATTTCACCAGCTGGAACTGTGACTTCGTATTTCCAGGTCGTAACTTGGCTGGAGGGTTAGCATCTTTTACACCACGTGGGCAAGCTATTGCAAAATGCATTACTGGAGAAAAATCAGGAGGTGTCGGCATGCTGTTAAAGGCTGTAATTTAACTGTGGTAACATCTGACATGCTGTGCTGCATTCCTCCTGCTCTTGTGGTTAAAAAAGCCAAACGAGATCCTCCCAGTTAGAGGAATCGGTAAGACCTTTTGGGTTGCACGCAGCCTTGAGGCCACTGTCTTAAATCAGCCTGGCATGGACACACATTTGGTTGGTGTCACCTTCCTAACCAGGAGGACTAGAGACCCGCTCGCTAAATGAAAGCCCAGTTTCTGAAGGATCAGACGTCAGGAGGGACAGGCAAGAGCCCTGAGCTGGCTGGGCCAGTGGGAAGGCTCTGTGCTTCGCTTCACTGCTCTCACGCTTGGCCAGCGATGCACAAACAACTGTTTTAGTTACACTGCAAGACGCACCTCGGGTACCAGGTTTGTGGAGGGGGGAAGCGGGTAGGAGAAAGGGGAAAACGCCGTTCTCAAGAGGCAGCCAAATGTGGCAGCAGGTCACAGCTCATTTCAGAAGCCTGACAAGCATTTCGTTCTGAGTGCTGCGGAGCACTGGGGACTCCCGCAGCGGGGCCGTAGGTCTGCTGGGGCTCACACACCACCCCAAGGCTCAGACCCCGCTGGCCTGCACTGACAAGAGGGCTACAGGCACCTCAGCCCATCAGGCTGGAGCAGATCAGGCCTGGAAGTCATGGAGAGAAAAGCAAGCAGGAAACGCCATGAAGGCGCTCTCCGGGGCACGATGGCACACGCAGGGAGGTGTGTTATCAGAAGAGAAGTTCCTCCCAAGCCAGCTATCCTGCTCAGGCTTCAAGGACATCAGGTTGCAGATCAGGACACAAGTAATTCTTTGCATGACATTCACCCGGGAGCCCTGGCTCTGCTGCCAGCCATCATGCTGCCGAGCTGCCTGCATCCATCCCGCAGCCACCCGCCGTGGGAAGCACCAGGGTTTCTGGGGGCACTCTGCAAGCTGACCTACACTTGAAAGCAAGGGTAAGCTCAGATGAGAGTCATCACTGTGTGAAGGGGAGCAGGGCCACATCTGAATGAAAGCTGAGATGAATGCTGCAGGACACGTCCTCTTGCCTGCTCTTTCTCACCCAGCTCCTGCCTGTTTCTCCCCTCTTTTCAATGTGCTGTCCAGGCAGCCTGCCTTGCACTTCCCCCAGCGTCCAGCCTTGCCTTCTCCTTGTGCCCCAACACAAGTGCACCCCTGCAGCTGTCATGACCCCACGGAGGTGTCAGCAGAGCTCCCCTCTCTCCAGCATCAAGGTTAGGTTTGGCAGCGAGTGGCTGGACAGGGAGACGAGCGGCTGAAAAGCACTTGCTGGGAGCAAACCTATTGTGCTGCCGCCATCCCCGAGCCAGTCTGCTGAGTCTGGCCACAGCTGACAGCATTGAACTTGTACTTACAGCACTGAAAAAAAGAGCAAGAAATACAGCATTTCCCATTAGTCCCCAAGCTGCAGGTTACTGCAGAGGGTGCTAGAATAGCTACTTAGCAGTAGGTGGGCTGCTAAGCAGAGGGTGCTCAAAAGCACCCCCAAGTTTTGAGAGCTCCTGAAATATTAAATGCAAATATTGCCACTAGAGGGTGTCAGGGACCCAGCTAGGGAGAGTCCCAGGGCCCTGCTGCCAGGACGGAGGGGGGAGCCTGGAGATGCTCCCCTCTCCCCCAGGGTGGTGCCCATGAGCATCCCTCCTCAGGAAGCTTGCACACACAGCACCAATCAAGCCCACCTCAAATGCACACACCTCAAGCGATGAGCACTCTATGAGCTACATAAAGTATTTACAGATGAGGAATTAAGGCCGCTTACTTTAGGATAAGGAACTGGCTTACAGTCTCTCAGAAAACAAGCAGGGAGCAGAGACTGGAGTTCCCAGGTCTGGCCTCAGCACACACCTCAAATTCTCCAATGAGCTCTCCTCCGAGCTCCAGGACCAGCTCGCTTTCCAGCAGCCGCTGGTGCCATGCTGAACTCTGCCTCAGGCGGACGAAGACAAGCCAGGAGTCTCCCTTTTCCCCAGGCTGGCTCTGGTTTGTCCGTGGGTATCCAAAACCCCAACCACCCCCAAGGGGTAGGCTATCAAAGCTTTTATGTGCCAGACACAAACCAGAGAGCTACCAACATTTCATCTACTCCCAGGCAAGGCAGCAAACCTGCCTGAGATGCTGTTTCCTTGTTAAGCGATGCAGGAGGGGCATCAGGCTGGGAGCCAGAGGCTTCCTAGCTCGAGCTGGTAAAATAACACCGTGAAAATCACTTAGCACCATGGTAGCCTTACACTGTAGGCTCTTCAGGAGTAAAACAACTTACACAGGCTACCCAGCACAGTGGGACCATCTCAGGGCCACTGTAGGACAAGTAAAACCCACCAGCCTCTTCTTCCCTTGGATTCTGTTACAGCTTGTACCCACTGATACACTTTAGAGGCACCCTACGGTGCTACCCTGTGTCCCCAGCTGCCCACTTCATATTACCTGGACAGAGCTAAGCTTGCCAAGCGTCAAATGTGAACTATTTAGGAAGAACAAATACATGTACTCCCTACTCCTAGGGAGCTGCTTCTGGCTGAGAAATACCGCTCTGGATTCTGCAGGGAATTAGTGCAAGAGTTATGTTTCCATCTGCCCCGTGACATCTTGTTGCCCTGCAGGGATCCCAGCTCAGCGCCACAAACCTCCTTCCCCAGCCCCTGTTGTGCGCACAAGACAGAAACAAGCTGCTCAAGAGGAACTGCAATGCCAGTACCACCAGTCCAGAGGTGAGAGCGCTGACAGGCACTGAATGGCACCGCAGGCGGGAGTGCAAGGCATGGGGACGCAGCGTTTCGTTATTACCCTCTGCAATCT